AATGAGTTCGCCTGGAATAGAAAATTTAGGCATTTGAGCGTTACTCGGAGCCACCGAATTGGCGCTACCTCCCTGTTTGCCGAGGATTCAATTAACATCATCGGTATGATCACGCGCTCATTTAGAACAGGTTTGGAGAATGACGGAGGATAATAGAACACGGCGTTGTGTTGTTCGTTTTCCTATCTCGTGACCGTGTCCAGTGCTGCGCTGTAAAGGCGCGTTTACGCTAGGGAGACACAACGCTGATTGTGGTCAGCCGACTGTCTTTGGGAGCGTCTTTTGTCGTCGTCATTTTTACACTGCATGTACTGACACAAACAGTCCGTCCATAGTCTTTGGAAGACTCCGTCCGCGCCCTATCGAGCTCGCAGCCTTTCACATTGTAGGCACACGCAGAGACACGGACTAAACTTGCACACCTGCACCTCATTTTCAGCCATGCTCCCTACTCTGCCATTGTCCCTCTCCGGCTATGCGGCGCAGCCACCGCCATAATACACAGCATCGAGGGAAGGGGGTAGGGTGGGGAGACACAAAAAGGAAGTGAAGACTTCCGTGGGGTGCGCAAGGTGCCTATTCAAACGCCGTGAAAGCCTCGGGTGGATCATTGTCATCTGCCCCAAGGTTTCCCCCTTCGTGGTCGTTTGAAGCAATGACACGGGCAAATTTTCGCTCAGCCGCAGTCGCCGGGCGACATGTCGACGACTGCAGGTCTGCGGATGCGTGTCGCTGTTTTTTTTTTTAATCTGTAATCATGTTACAATATGACAACATCCTGTCTTTTGGGGCGTCGTCGTCAGCCTAGTGTAACCATGGTGGTCTGGAGACTTCGTTGGCGGGAGACTTGTCGGCGGACCATCTGCGTCTGCCTCGTGTCTTCGCCGGGGTCGTGTCAGTGTCGTGTTGCTCTTGTTTAAATGCGCCGTAATGAAGTTCACGATGAACGCCAGGCAATTAGCAGAACTCGTCGTTTTGAGCGCCATCCGTTTTTGTAGCGTAGCTTACTTAAGCAGTTTCACGTGGCTCTTTTTATAGCTCTTATCTGAGTTGTAAAGAGATGTGTTTGTGTATTAGGTCTGCAGTTACTCCCTGCGAAATTCATCTGAACTGCGCAGGGAGTAGATACAGTGCAAGCATATGAAGGTACGTTATCAGGGTAGCGGGTATCATAACAAATTACAATAGTAATAAAGAACGCCGACAAGTTTTGAATTAACTAGATGCGATTGTTGTTAGATATACAAATGTGTCAGCTTGCAACCACCACAGGCAACGCTAAAATTTTTTAACACGAAAATGTTTTCTGCCGGGATCCGCCAAGATATCAGTGGCGTATTTCCGTCACGAATATGACGTTGCAAAATTAATGTCACCAAATGAGGAAGAAAAACATGCAGCAAAATATTGCCCCGCTAGACGTAGAACTTCTGGCTCCTTTGTGAACGAAGAAAAACACCCGGTGCTCTCTCTACGAACGCGCCTTACACTTACACTCCTTCTCTCCCACTCCGTAGTCTGTGTTGGCGAAGTCGGATGGTGCCGCCGTAATGCGTCATGACACAGTTAAAGCGTGGCGTCCGAGATTGTGCGCCGGCGCGCAGTCTCAGAGGTCATGATTGAAGGTTCTCGATTGAAGTGAAAAACCCTAACCGAGCGAGCATTTACTCACTTTTAATGTTCTTTGCCTTGCGCTTCGTGTTAGTACACGTGACAGCTCGCTGTTGAAGTTGCGCAGGTTCCACGTGCACGAGCGATGTTTCACCGCCGACTACTTCGAGTGTGATAGCACCGGCCTATTTATTAAAACTGCTGCATAAGCACTGCACCAAGGCAACGATGTCGACGGGCAAATATCGTGTCATGGTTCAGAGAAACTGAAACCACCAGAACACGGAACGCCGGCGCAAGTTCGCGGCGCAAGCTACGAAGTTCTGCGTCCCGCGTTGCTGAAGCGTAGTTTGCATGAGCGCTGGTTTCAGGAGCGCAAACCGTGTTGTTTCTCTCCTTAACTGGCGACTTTTGAAGACGCGCATATCGAGTCGCAGTGTTTAGCGTGTACTGGTTGATGTCATCTTTGTGGGTGAATAACGATAGGACGTGTTTAGGTATAGATTAAAAAATTTCAGTTACCACAATGGTTACATGATGGTCATGGGTGGTAGTCGTCGCGATAGAGACGTGCCACTGGGCGTCAACGTAGCTGTGTCCACGTCAACCGGTGCTATATCTGCAAAACTTCAATGTAAGGTGCACAAGCTCTCTTATATCACTACACAATGAGCACTATTTATATGAAGACGCATTTCACTTTCATGTTATACCGATTGTTATAACGGAGGGATCAGCCAATGTTTTTCAGAGTAGTAAATGTAACCAGCCACTTCTGAACTTAGTGGTCTGGATGCGAATGTACACTTGTTGTTCATTTAAACTAACAACGACCAATGCGTTATATTTCATGCACTGGCGTTGATATCTAAATAAGTAGTTAAGCACAGGCAAAAGACCATGGAATTTACTGAAATTAACTAGAGGGGACTCTGGCGCCTCGATCTTTCAATGACCATTGGAATTATGGGTAGTACATGGGTTTGCCTAGTCTTCGTGCTTGCGGGCGGCCAACGCACATATGACATCGTTTATTGCTGTGTTTTGGTTTTATTTCAAATGAAAGAACAAACTGTTGTGCACTTCGTGACCCGTTTCGAATTGGTGAACCTAAAAGGTGAAGGGGGTGAGGCGTAACTGCCGAACATTTGCCGACTGTTGTTTTGAGACAAAGCAGCCTCAAGCCGCCTGAAGCCATACGGAACGTATTGTGCGAATAAAAGGCAAATTTATGCACTATACCCGTAATTCCCATGCTTGCTGAAGCGCCATGCGTCACAGTTTCCATAGACACCAGGGCCAAAGTTCCCTATGGTGGACATTTAGGGTACTCTATGCAAAATACGAAAAGAGCATTCAAGGGCGCCGCAGCGTAGTTTGTGGTGGAGATAGTAAAGTAAACTATTAAAAAATAAATATTTAACACAAAAGTTATGTAGAACTCGGAGCATTCTACTGTCTTTTAGTGCTGCCTTTTAACGCGATAGCGGTAAAGAGCTCATTTCGCACCAATTCCGGTGTGGGCATCGTTGGTTGATAGCGAAAAGGCATCATATTGTGCAGGGCCAAAAAATTGAGAAACATCCAAATAAAATTTTAAAAAATTACGGGACCGACTGAAGATTGAATCTGGGACGTTTGCGTAGCAAGAAGGTGTTCTGCGACATGGACATGCATCTGCTTAGATGTGCCGTAAAATTAATGTTTGTGCTGTACAAATACACGCGTCCTGTATACAAGCTTCGCAATACAACATGTAATACTGCAGTAATAATGCGTGGTACAAGATTACATTGCCATCAGGTGTGAATACATGTAAATATTGTAACGACTTGATCCTTTAAATCCAGTCACCCATTGCAAAAAAAAAAGACAGACTTGTTCGAAAAGATTTCACACGCATAACTGTTTGTGGTTTAAAACATAACACCGACTGCATAGAATTCAGCCATATCAGAAAGCTTTACTGACGCAAGGCGCTTTCAACTTAATCGACTACATCGTCCACAATTAGAAATCCTCGAGTAACATCATGCAATAAAAAGTATACACTACGTGCTGGAAGTAAGAACCAAGGACAGGATGTCACTATATCATATTCTACTCTTAAAAGGGAAACTTAAGCATGCCCCAATTTTTTGTTACCAAAAAGAAATGTGAACGAGTTTTAATTTTTTTTATGGACGCGGAATGCTGTCCAGGCTTTCTTGGATTAATTAATCACTGCAACGTTATGCTAAATCGTTGTGGTATCCACTGGGAACACTGAGTTCCTGAATAGTTTTTCGTAAAGCGAGAAAGGTACTGTGTTATGTCTTTCCCGTGACTTTTCACACCTGCCACTGACATTCTTGCATAGCTGTTTCAGAAGAAGTAGCATGGCAGCATCGCTTCGATATTCCTTCCTTTTGTGTGTCATTACACACCTTCGTGTTTACAAACCAGAGTTCAATTCTTTGTTATTCGGATCATTATGCCCTCTACTGCCGTTTTTTTGTTATTTTTGAAATTCTGCCCTTAGGCATAAAAATTTATTATTCAAAAATACACATGCAAATTGGCTTCGTGTGTAAAGTCAAATCAGGAGCGGTGGTGAGGTTCTAGAATCTAGCAATCAAAGTCTGGTCGTGCCTTTATTGACACACACGCTCCACGAAACTGTCATTTTCTATGAGTGTACTTTTCAAATTTTCGCAACACTTTGGCTGTTTCTATGTTAGTTTCCGTGCCTCTCCCCTGCCTGCCGCCACTTTCACCTAGTGACGTTTATGTGGGAATGCCTGTATACCGTGTTTCCCCTCACAACGTGGTTACCCTGTTTATGACATGCACCAATCAGCGTCTTGTCGGCGAGCTTTTTCTCGCCATCTTCATTGACTCGAGCACTCTTCAGAGTGTCCGCTTGATAGGAGAGAAAGGTGCCAGGGCATACTGCGCAGCGCTTGTGACTCACGGGCTGCCGGCAGGTGGCGAGGCTTTGCCGGCGCACCACCCGGGGCGCTGCAACATTGATGGCGCTGACTCGTCAAGTGGCCAATGGCTGGCGGGCTCCCAATTCGGAGATGCGCGCGGGCCATTTTTATCAATTTGCCGTGCCGGCCGTGTCCGTCCGCGCGCCTGTTTACCGGCTGCTCGGCGTGGCCCCACGCTGCGGGGAGGCGAACGCTAAATAATGCAGCGCGGCTTTAATGCGCTCGACCCATTAGCGGGGTGCGGGGTAAAATCCGAGGGCGCGCTCGTTAGATGCGTGGCCGTAATTAAAAGGCGCGCGCTGCTCTTGGAGATTGACCGACGCCGGGGCTCAACAAAGAGTCGCGTTTATTCATCGTTCCGGAGGGGGCAAGCGGGAGGTACAAAAAAGGAGGGTCTATGTACAGGCTGCGCTTCCTTCACAGCGGCGGTGGTGGCGGGCCTCCCGGGTAGTAGAACGGGCCGAGCGCCGCGGCCGCGTCCTGCGCAGCCGACTCGTACAGAACGGCTGCGGCAGCGGGGAGCCGCACCATGCGCTGCTGCGCCAGGTTGGCCGCCTCCAGCTCGGCGGCCAGCTGGCGCTTCCACTTGTTGCGCCGGTTCTGGAACCAGATTTTCACCTGCGTCTCGGTGAGCTGCAGCGAGGCCGCCAGGCCCGCACGCTCCGAGCTCGACAGGTACCGCTTCATGTCGAACGTGGACTCGAGCTGAAACACCTGGCTGCGCGTAAACACCGTCCGCGTCTTCTTCTTGCGCCGCTGCTGGGCCGCAGCAGCGGTCTGCTTGTTGCCGTTCTTCGGGTCGTCGCTGTCAGCCGAACCCGATGGCAGGTCGGGACTGCCACGGCTGCTGCCGGCACTCGTGGAGGGCTCCGGCCGCGCGGGAGGCGGTGATCCAGGGCTCGCGAGAGCTGCGAGAACAAGGGCGCCACTGAGTCGCACAATCGAACCCGTCTTAAGGTGCGCCCCGATACGTACAACCAAGCAACGCTGAGATGCGCAAAGTACTACGGCATCCGTAGAAGAGAAAGAGAATTACCAAATAAGTCTGTAGCACTTACCACGTGTTTTTTTTTTACTTTAGTATTATTCAAGCTGAAAGTGCGTTGGTACAAAGACATAGTTATGGAATACCCGCTTTGGCTGTCAAGTGGTTGTGGTGTTCTACTGCTGACCCGTCGGTCATGCTATTGAATCCTGGCCGCTGCGAAAATGATCCAGACCCGTGTGCTCGATTTATGGGTGCACGTTAAGGAACGATAAGCGGTAGAAATTCCTGGTGCCCTCCACAACAGCGTCTCTACTAATCATTTCGTAGTGTTGGGACTGTTAAATTGTTATGTTCAGGGTGCACTTATGAATGAGCAGCGGGGAAAAAAGCCACTCGGGACGGTAGCGTAGCATGTAAGGTTACGAACTGATAAGGACGAGTGTGCAGGTTCTATACTCAGCCAAGGCGACCTCATTTCTGTAAAGGTAAAATACAAGAACACCCGTGTGCGTAGGTTTAGGTGTACATTTAGGAAGTGCTCAAACTTTCTCGGTCCACCTGTACGATGTGTCTCATAACTATATCGTATGTATGTTCGTTTTAAGCCTGGAATTTATATTTTAATTTGAAAAAAAAAGATGTATTGCCACTCGTGAGCTTCAGTAGAATTTTTTCTAACTTGTTGTTTCGCACAATAAAAATCGTTAGCAATATTTATTGTCTTCAGTCAATGCAGCATCATTAGTGTAGTGCACACCGATCATAATTTTATTCGAGATTTAAATGATTTCTTCGCGTCCTCACGAATGACAACCACCACGTTTTATGACCGGTAAACGGAAAGCAGTGTCTTGACATTTGCATTATGTCCGCTATCTTAGTGACTCCCAATATCAGGTGATACTGTGGGGTCTCTTCGAGGGTCGTCTTGAAATTTGCGTGGTATATATGGTCAAACCATAGGTGTTGGCATTTCGTGTAAGGACTTGTCTTTTCGTCGAAATGCTAATGATGTCCACTTGCAAGTAAGATACTTCGTGCCTTCTTGCGGTGACTTATGTTTGCTATGATGTAAATACATATCGTGAAGGAGAATTTCGGCTAGTTGTATATAGCTTCTGACGAATTAGTGCACAAAACCGAACAAAAACATGGACACCCGAATAAAAATAAAACCTCTTGATGCTTTATGTTTGTGCGTTTTCATACACCATAGACTTATTGTGAAGTATTCACCGCACGTGATCATAAACAACTGGTGGTGTGTTTACGACGCAGCATGAAGCTAAAGGAGAAGGAACCGCATCCACACGGTGATAACGCATGAAGCACGTGTAGAACAGAAAGAAAAAAAGAAAAGAAAAACGAAGTGCTGCAATTGAAGTACAAACAAAAAGTTTCATCTCAGGTTGGCGCAGTCGTGAAGGCCCGTTACAACCATTGGTAAAGGGCGGATTCACAAAGGTGAGCCTACTTCCACATATGGCAGCCGGCAAAGTAGCACGCTCAAGTATTGATGGCAGGGTGCCGCCACGAGTGAAACCGGATCGCTCGAGTTCTCGGAAAAGGGGCATCAAATATGCAAGAACAATTAGGCGTGACATTTTCTCGTCCGCAGATGAGAGTAGCTGTTGGAGCCGTGCTTTTAGATTGCAGCACCACAGACGTCGTAGAAAGAGGCTGAATAAAGAAAGAAAATGAAAGTGTTTTTCTGGTTCTTTCCTTAAAAAAGCCCTTAGTAGTGATCCGTTCTGCACAGTAGAGAAATCGGTCCTCTCAGCATTTAACTGCACCATGATGTAACTGTGATAACCGTAGTTAATTATGTGTTTCAAGAACTGGCGCCCGGCCAAAAATTGTGGCTCAGAACGAGCCACCACAGTTTCATGCATCTTCTCATGAGTGGCAGGACACTTCGTGTCTTGCCGTCACCGGGAGTCGCTGAAAAACAAAAGTAAGTACGGGTGAGATTGTCACGTGTCAACAAATCTTGGGAAGGCCTCGCTGAAAAATGAAGGCAAAAAAATTGTGCATTATTGAGTTTGTAGAACTAGCTACCCTAACAACGAAGATATCTTGGTTCAAGTAATAATGCAGGTCTATTATTGACAGGGCGAGGTTTCAAGCTCGAGCTTGCGGTTTTGATTTCTCGCGACAGGGTACACAATTCCATGGGGCGCGAAATGCAAGAACACCCATGTACTTATATTTAAGCGTACGTAAAAGAACCACAGGTGATCAAAAATAAGTCAGAATATGGCGGCTCTCGAAATCATATTGTGATTTTTGGCGCGCAACACCACAAAAGATTTCTTTTGGCCCCGTTTAAATAAAGTGAACTCAATTTTCGATTCTTGCTTTTTCATTCCCCCTCTCATCTCCTCTCCTTTTTCTTTTTGGGTTTCACCTCTTTTACGCAATAAGGTTATTGTGGATTGAAAGAGATTAATCAATGACGGGGTTCTTCCAAAACCTACATCCCTCGTTGAATTTAACTGGGCAACTTCTTCCAACAACTCGCCTGTCCTACAGGCAAAGCACGCTCTACAGGAGCATTTAGATGTATAGCGTTGGAGACTGCAGAATATAGGCACGTCAAGGATGATGGTAGGTGCAATATTTTATACAACATGTTATTGATCGTCATGGGAACAGTGGTATTGCTTTGCTCGTTGTAATATTTTATGATATTGCTTTTTTTGAAAAATACCAAAAAGTAGATGATAATAGGCAGGTACAAAACTAATACAAAATTAAAAGAAATTTTCAATATACTAACGCACATGTTTGTTTAAATGTTCATCAAATACTTTCTATATGAGTGGCAGCGTCTAAACGGTAATTATAAATGCTATTTGATTTTTTTGTGAATTAACTCCGTTTGTCTTTCACGTTTGTTTTTATCGCGATAATTCATTTAGGTGCAAGTTAAAGATCATGAAGCGGTAACAATTTTCGGAACCCTCTACTACTGCATGCATCATAATATTATCCTGGAAGTTCCATGTGAAATTCTAAATAATCTTCTTAATATTGACCTGCTAGTACCACAAAGAAATATAAAAAAGAAGAACGGTACACAAGACAATAAGCAATATTAGACAATTTTCTGTTTAACATACCCAAACGTAAAAGGGCTTACATCACTGCGAATACACCTTGAAAATACTTGTTGTTGAAATTGTTATAAAAGAGAAGATAGGGTGCCCATTTCTTTGAATAAATCTGCCCCGACAGCAGATAAATATAATTAACAAAAATATTGACATCTCTTGCTGCCAATCCAGTGGCTGAAATGTCAATTCGGTAGCAGATCAGCTTGTCTGAAAACTTCTGTTAAAAAAAAACAATTCCCGAAGATGGGTCTGTTCTCTTCCTGTTTACCTGCTCGACGTTTGAGGTGAAAACCAACTTGAGGCGAATGAACAATCACAGTAAGAGAATCTTGTATTTTTTTCTAAAACAAAGAGTACTCTTAGTGGGCAACTATCAATCGCTTGAATTAATTAATTAATAAATCACTTGTGACCTGGAGTTAGAAATTTTATTGCTTGTGAGTATTTACATTACGAGCAACACCGGAAGCATTTCAGTAAGAACTTGCGAGGGCGTCCGCGCTCATTTATTGTATTTTTTTCGAAAGCCTGCCAAAGGGCGTTTAAGTTATTTATAGATTACTCTCGCGTTCTTGCTTGCTTACGCGATATATGAGTGGCAACGTTTTTCTCTTTTTTCTTTTTACGAAATGTATGACGACGAGTACATTAGCAACGCTAACATTAATAAAAAGGGCCGTAGGCATTACCGCCCTGTGCTTCATGAATCAATATTGTAATTAAGGCTGTCTTTTCTCTAATTATACGGACTCAGCATGAGGACTGCGCAAGATCCTAATTATCAAACGTACTCGTATGTATTGCACTTATACATCTTACTAATGCTTTGACATTCTCTGTGTATCCAATTGTGGCAGCTTAGCATTTAAGGTGTGGCATTGTTATGCTCGAGGGAACCGGTTCAATTACAGGCCTTGCAATCAAACTTAGATAGGGGCGAGATTCAAAAAAAAAAAGAAGAAACCACTGTGCTTAGATTTAGACACGCGCTGAATGTCCACAGTTAGCGGAAATTAACACGGAATACAGCAGCGTACCTCAAGATCACATCGTGTTTTGGCACGTAGAACCTTAGAAATTATTAATGACTTCTCTTGCCGTCTTGATCCGTTAGCCACCCTAAATAGGTTCATTAGTAAACACTTTTTGGTGGTATCTACCAATATTACAGTAAAACTAGCGAACGAATGTTTACAGATGTATACCACATGATAATGGAGACAGATTCTCGGAAACGACAACATTATAGAACATAAATTGCGGGCTTCTTGAAAACTTGTTCCCGCCAATTCAAGGAGAGCAACAATAATACGACGACTATACGGTGAAATACAAGCGTTGTCTAAGTTTGTGGAACTGCATCCGAGGATCACGTCTCGCCCCGTCTTTATCGAGCAGTGCTGCTGACTCCATCGGGTGAGTTCTCTTTCCTAGATACACATAGTGATTACGGACGGATTGACACTTTTATAAGCGACAACACGCGATGGTGCAAGGCGTACAATTTTTGCCCCAAGCTAGAAAGTTTAGAGAATACGTGAATTGGCAATTCACTTCGCCGAAGAGATCGGTCAGGAATACTTCAATGGGTGTGCCATAATCGCAGTCCTTGAACACGTATGGGATGCGACTGGCGTCAATGCCGCAACGACCAAATAAATGCGCAAGTTTCTAATCTATGTCTTCATTTACTGTGACTGAGGAAATTCCGAAAGTATATTTTGTGCGAGATGTGGGATCGGCTTACGGTTTCATCCTCCGCATCCGCCCTCTAGGTAAGTTTTTTTTCAAATCAAACTGTTCC